GTGTGCAGAGTGCAAAGTGTTCTTGAATAATTTTGTAGAGCAAATATTTGCAAAGAAATTGCAAACATTAAATTGCACTGCCGTGAAAATTCGCAGTGAGAAATCGGCTGGAGGTGAGCAAAGTGAATATTGAAAGCGAAGCCAGTGCGTGAGAAAAGCCAATAAAGTGGATTCAAGGTGCCTGCTGCTGGAAAATTTTACAAAATCCAAAATGCGGTGGAATTTTCCTTTGTCTGTTGGAATGCCTGCTTGGACACAATGATATAAAGCTGGCGCTTGCAGGCGGTGGGGGGTCAGCCAGATTTTGTGGCTAAAAAACGCTTGTAAACGCTTCACTAATTGCCAAAAAGTATCGATACAAACACAGTTACACAAACGTTAGCAAAGGCAGTCACTTAGCCAGCCATCCAGCCAGCCATCCAGCCAGCCATTCAGTGAGGCAGCTTTCCCAGTCTGCCAATTATTCAGTTCTTTTTTGGGTGCCAATGAATTTTTCGGGGACTGCTCGCGCACGCGACATAATCGCAGGGGAGGAGTGTGCGAGCTGCCAGTGTTCAAGAGAGAGACGTAAAGACGCAGGCTAAATAGCCAGCCATTTAGTTTGTCAGTCAATTTGGCAGACATTGTGTCGTATGTGGCTTAGGACTGCCGTTATTCAGGTGCCTCTTTGCCGTCGTCGCATTTGGTGCGCGGGCTGGTGCGGGCTGGTGCGCTTTGGCGAGCAAGCGAGTGCCGCGCATTCCAAGGATGAATGTCCTGCGCTAAATCTCGCCTTAGTGGCTCAGAAGCCTATGCAAACACACGCACACACACACACACACACACACACATGCGTATGCCAAAAATTTTCCTGTGCAAACTTGCCTACATACATATGTATGTACATTCCTTTGTAGGTATTTAGGTGCATGTGTATGGGGCATTTGGGACTCGGCTGCACGCTTGCCGTTTCTCTTGCCGCCCAGCGTCGTTATGTGAATTCAATGAGTTGTAAACTCCGTCTCGTGCAAATCACTACCCCTTTTTACCTTTCTGTTTTTTTTTTTTTATTTAACGTGCTTTCCGTTTGGCCTCTACTTTGGCTGCTACTGCGCTACATTTAACAGTTGTTTTTCATTACCTCCCACCACCACTCTCAGCTGCTCTCTCCTATCCCTCCTCTTGCATGAATAACTTTTTTTTTTTTTCCTGGCTTTCAATGAAAAATTTCCCGTTCACCACTCGCCACAGCGAGCTTCGTAGCCTTCGTCCGCGTCATAGCATAGCATAGAAAGTCGCTTTGTCTACCACAGCCAGAGTTGATTTTTCTTTCTTTCATTTTAAATTATTTACAGTTGAGTCTGCCTATGTGTGAGTGAGTTATTGACATTTAAAAAATGGACTGGCTGAGGCTTAATTTTTTTTTTGTAATTTTTCTTAATTTCACTAAAGTCCTTTCATTGACCAACACAAAACCATTCAGAAAAGTCTGGTTTGAGTTGTGTATGTAATCGTACGAAGAGGAGGTGTAACTTATAATTTATTTATTTTTAATGTTTACTGGTCTTGGAAAGGAGCATTGTAAAAGAAAGGGCGTGATCAGCGTAAAAATCAGAAAGCTTAGAAAAATCTATGAAAACCTTTGTTTTCGTTTTAATTTTTCGTAAAACCTGGATATTTTGTTTCTACATTCAATATTATGTACGCTTTATTTATATACAATTATTCTAAAAGCTTATTGAGAATTGTAGTTTTGTATGTTGGTCGTACGAAATGTCATGAACTTAGCTAGAAAGCCAAGATGTGCCTAAAAATATGCAACTTTAAAAATTGGGACATGCAATAATAACTCAGATGGTTGTATGTAGACGATTAAATATAGTGATCTATGGATAGGTAATGAAAAGTAGGGCTACGTGGCTACAGATAGCGAAATAAGCAACGAGAAAATGGTGTGTAGAGCCTACTTATACTATGAGTTATATTTCGAGTTTTTGATACTTAATTAATATATAACAATTAACAAAATTGAAAAAATATTAAAATTAAATACCTATTGATAGGAATGTTATTTTATGCGCAAATACATAAAAGACTTACATAACTAAGGGTAATAATAATATCATTAAAAATTACAAAGCCCGAGAAAGAAAATATTTAATTGGGCGAAATTACTGGATTGATAAAAAGGTAGTGAAAAAGAAATGAATAAAGGACTAACTGACAGATGATATATCTACACTCTTGCATAATAATTCTGTAAAGAATCGCATTAGTTCCCTTCTGAAGTGCAATGTGCTTTTTACGCCCCTGATCTCCAAAGGTAAAGTATTCCACAGACGGACTGCATACACAAAAACTGACGTTCAGATATTTCGGAATTAAAGGACGTATAAAGCAATTGCGAAGAACGCGTTGATCGAGTTGCTTGAAACCGTTCGTAGAGGTAAAAAGGACATGATTTACCAATATTGTATGTAGTTCTTTTAGAGCCCTGAGTTTCAATCTCCTTACGAAAGGAGATTGAATATATTTTTGTAGCATGTTCGGAGATGTCATCTCTGCGCTTAATACCAAATATATATCGGGCAATATTATTAAATAAGACATTGAGCTTTCTGTTGCACGTATTTAGTATCGTAATTAGCATACAGTTCGCAACCATAAATCATAGTTGGAAGCAAATATGTCTTGGTTAAAAGCAGCCTGATTTTAATTGGTGTAAAGTACTGGATAGTCCATAAGGAGCGCAACATTTCATACACTTTGCCTATTACTGTAAAAATGTGGTTCTTCCATGTCAATGATCTGGCGAAAGTCACTCCCAGCTAGACACTCGTACCTTAGTAACGTATTGGAGTTCATTAAATGAATAACACTTCGAAAATCATATAGGGCATCTGGAACGGAGCTGGGGCTGCACGCAGAGAGTTTTTGAGTTTTTCGAAGTTTTCAAGACTTTTTCCAGTTTAAGGAAACCCCTAAATAGTACATCCTAGGTTATTTGTGGATGAAGAGTATTTCACAGGGGTGGGCAAGGCCGCGGCCGAAGTTTACCTTCAAAACTTAAAATAATTTGGGACAAATCCCAAACATTTTTATCCTTTCCTTGCAGAGACAAATTTAAGTTTTGCAAATGATCCATAATATCGATAAAGAACATTAAGTCAGAAAGCGAATTTTCATTCTCCATTTGCGGGTAATGTTCCGATCTCAATTTGCGTATGTGTATATAAAAATAATGAAAAAAAAAAAAAACAACTCAATGGAAAAGAATGACCAGCAAATAGATATGTATTTTAAAAAGTAAAAAGAGCCACAATGTTCTAAGCAAAGATAAAGTAAAAAGAGCCGCACTTTACTAAGCAAAGGGCCGCATTTGGCAGAAAGAGCCGCGTTTGCCCACCGTTTTCAACGTGTTAGGCCGAACTTCTTCTCTAATTCATGTTCTGCTTTTTAATGTTGTGACACATATGGAGAAATCTTAACTTTCACTCCACCTTCGAATAAGTATTTTTTTTATGGCAAAAGTACACTCGGAGGCGCGACCGCTATTTAAACCACTTTTTTTGATGTTGCTGGCACCACAAATTGAACCATGGACCTCCAGATGGTAGTAGGCGCATCTAAGCAGGCGGCAAGAGGATTACTAAAATTCCCAAGAAGTCAGAAAAAATGCAGTAAAGTATTAAAAAAAAAAAAATTATAAAATAAGGCCAAGCGTGTTTTTCACTTATTTTTATTTGTTTTATTTTTGATCTAAAAGAAAATTTTGAACTCATTTTGCTTTGCTTTTTTCTGAATAAAAGTTATCTTACCGTTAATAGTTTTATTGCGCGAAAACTATATAAAATAAAACCGGTTTATCCGGTTTTTTCTTAATTTCAAAATCAGAAACTGGGTTTTTTCAAATTGCAATTTTTCGAATAACTCGAAAACCGGTTCTGGAAAAAGGCAAAAAAAGCGAACACCCTAGTCTGAATTTATAACATTTTCGTGTGGAAGAAAAGTCTTCGTTCCGCAGACCAATAGAAAAATTTTAGCGTTTCGCGGAACTTTGCGTAACCGGGTTCCTGCGGTTGATAGAAGTAATCCTTAGTCTGTCGTCCATTGACTTTCATATTTGCGGAGGGGGAATCAACTGTAGAATCTTCGGTGAAGACTCAATTGAGAAAAGGGGCGGAGGTAACCGGGACTTTGTGGCATCTCCTTTTATTTGGGAAAGAAGGTTTCGGGTAACGATTGATGAAGAGAAATTACGCAAGGGGAATGGAATCCTTCAAGAGCGTTCTAGAATGGTTAAATTGAGTAGTTAATAGTAATTCACTACCAGGAATAGAAGTTAAGGCTACCAGTAAGGTGAAATAGCCATGAGGCACCATCATCCACCGCATATATAGTTTATACCACGAAAAGGCCTTTAATAGCAGGGAAGCCATTGCAAGGTAGGTCGCAAGTGAAAAGCTGCACGTCCACTGAGTACATGCTCAAAAAAGAATAGCAAATGCGACTGCCAAGAGAACCGCTTAATCCGACATGGTAGAAGACATCGAAAAGGTAGTAGTGAAGTCAATAATAAAATTCGCAAAAATCTTTGTTATTTCGTAACTGATTTGCATTTCAACTCGCAGCTGGGCCCGCTAGTGGTAAAACGATGTACGTATGTGTTTTCTGCCAGCATAACCTAATCAAACCTAACCTAAGTAATATATATAAAATTTTTCTATATAAATTGTTGGTGGGGTTAGAAATGTTGCTGTAAAGCCAATATATGTTTAATGCTCTACGTGAGCCTCTAAGCTTTAGTTTGCCAGACCTCTATGTGAAAATTTCACGCTTCCAACACCAGTTCAGTCCAATCAAATAAGTTAAGGATATCAGCCATTGGCAGCTTTAACAAAAATATTTCACATCACGTTTGAGAAGTTCCTACCAGGGATGAAAAATGGAAATTTCAGATTGTACCTAATATCATAAAATAAATGTACCTAAATGAGACAGATTGTACCTAAAAAAATATACATCATTCATTTGTAGTTTTTTTTATTAATTTTATTTAAAACATGAATACAAAAGATGCATGTACTTTAAACATGATAAGTTTTTTTTTTTTAACTGAGCCTATATCTATAGACTATAGTCTAATGTTTTTGTCTAATTTTGACTATTGAAAAATATTGGCGAAAAAGACAAAAAACACACTTTGCGAAGTATACTTCTTTATCCAGCTTTTTATAAAACAATAGGAAAAGTCTGCTAATTTATCCGATTCCTTTTGATAGGTGCAGCAAGTCTAGAGAAAATAATCAAATTACCGTAAGTAACTTCGAAAGCCTTTTAAATAAATAGTATATTTCCAGAAAACCAAAAGCGAATATGGCTCAAATAGCTATAGTTCTCATCTAAAGAAAATATAAAAGTTGAAAATAGACACTGGACTGTATGGGCGAATAAAGGCTGGTTTTCATTATGTCATATTTTGAGAACAAAATTTGTCGACATATTTTGACGCACCTTTCTTTTCTTTATCCCTACCTTTATCGATGATATTATGGGCCAAAAACTTACAAATAGCCGCTTTAGCAGCGCATGTACATGCCTGAAGACCTACTCTGATCTAAATCAATCAAAAGACAATTTTTGTATCCCATTACACAATTTGTTTTCACTAATTTGACCGCAAATGCCATTGAATTTGACTTAGTGAAAATAAGCGTTAAAATTAAAAGAAAAAAATTACGAATTTGAGGATAGCTAAATAAAGTTTTAATTTTTCGTAGTGGCTGCTCTAAATGCAATGTAAAATGTTTAAGATAATACATAAGTAATATGACTTTTTTAATTTCTTTCTTTTGGCCACTTTTCTTTAGAATTGTTTATTCTTCAAAATGAAAGCTAGGTTTCTCCCGTGCCTACAAGTAAATATATTAGCACGGTAAAGGAAAAAAATGCATCTGAACAAAAGATGATTGTACCTAAAATCTAGTGACTGTACCTAATGTACCTTTAAGTCATCAAACGTCGGAAAAAGGTACAATTGTACCTACTTTTTCATCCCTGGTTCCTACATATGAACATTATGTGAAATAGCATCCAAAAGTCATTAGGTGACTGCTTAGGCTTGCAACTTTGCATCCTTTTTCTTTGGTTGCTATGAATCACTAGAGTGTGTGCCTGTATTGTCGACTTGTTATTATACCCTCGCAGCAGGCAGAACAAAATTCATACTCACGGCTCTCATATTTTCAGTATAGCCTAATTCGAGGCATCGCAAAATTGACAAAATAAAAACATTGTAGTGAAGAAAGAGAAACAATAAGAAAGTATGAACATATACTATGTAAAAAAGACTTCATCAAAACGCCTGTATGTATAATTATAAAGCCGTACAGTTATTTAAAGTGATCAAAAAAAAAACACACACAGAACAAGCCAGTGTATTCGACGATTAAAATTCTAAAACTGTAACCACAACGAATTGACGAAGAAAAAGCTAGATAAAACAAGTGCAAAAATCAAATTAAAAAAAAAAACAAAAACAACAAAAAATATTATAAAACAGCAGTGAAAACGTTAAGTTGCTATCCTAACCGAAAAGCAAGTCAGCCCGTTTAACATAGCGCAGTAAACATACTCACACATTCATATGTACTTAAGTATGCATTCGAACGTACATACGTATATAGTCCTGTTGCGAAAATCCTCCTAAGTAATCTCCGATTTGTTATGGCTACCCGTTTCAAGTACTCGAATCCGCATACATAAACACCAGGTTTATTCGTGACAACGTTACATTTTTTATAAGCCACGTCCACGCGTCTGCATTTGGTGCCTTTGCGTTATTGTTATTAGTGCGTGCGTGTTGTGCGCGCAGGAATAAAAAAAAAGGAAAAACAAAAACTGAATACAAAAAAAGTAATACAAAATTAAACTTTGAAGTTTGCAAAATTAAGCTTACGAAGAAGAAATGAAAAACATTTTGAACCTAATTGATCGGCAGTAATTACTATATACCACGGTAGCTGTGCGAGCGAGGACTACGCCTTCATAACGGTAAGTCGTAATAAAGATTTCAATAAATTCTTAAGGATCATAGAAATATGACAAGTCTCATATGTACATACATACATATATATGTACATATAGGCAAACCTAGACCTAAAGGGAGTTAACTAAAAAAAAAATTTAGGACGATTTTTTGCATAAATTAATTCATAGAAGTTATCTCTAATTAATGCAAATATATTTTTCCTTTATGACTATTATTTTTTTGATTTTTTGCTATGATACCCGGATTGTTTAAAATGAAAAAAGATTTAGAGAGTTGCCACCTGTTTGAAAATTTGATTTTAAATAAATTGGGTTCAAGAGAAAGAAATCTTTTTGAGTAATGTTGCCACCTATATGAAAATTTTAATTCAACTGATTTGATAAGATAAATTAAACGCTACAATATGGGTATCAAACTAAAGCGGGGCATACACGAGGAACATTGTTTCAAGCTTAAGTTACAAACATTGTTGATGGCTGCACAAACATTGTTGCAAACATCACTTCGAAGAAGAATTTCGGACTACACAGTTGCTTTCTATCTATTCTATATGATCAAATTAATAAAATAAAATTCGTTGCACTGAGGGCAGAAGAAACTTTCCATGCTTCAAACCCGTTTTATATTCTTCTGTTTTCCCCATGAGTTTACACTAGAATACAGACAAGCAACTTGCTGTTACGACTTTTGTATGAAACACAGCATGTCGACATACATATGTATGTCGATACCTGAGTGGAAGATCGACCTATCTCGGCAGCCAGTTCCGAAACGCCTTATCTTAGAAAACTTTTCAAGAATGCCGTTTAGATGGAACTTTGCAAAATTTTTATAATTTTTCCACAAAGTTTGAAATTTAGATTAATATGGTTTTTGTTAGATAAAAGCTCCACTTAAAAAAATGAGAAAAAATAGCATTAAACAAACAAAAGAAAAATATGTAGTTAAATCTTGGTAAAATGTTGCGACCCTATCAATTTGACCGACACTATGATTATATTTTCGATTTCGTTATACATAAAATATATAATAAACTATACTGAAACTGAGGTCTGCTACATTTTTTTTAAACCTACTACATTTTTTAGGATTTACCACACAGATATTTTTTTTTAAGTCCGATCACTGATGCCACTTACAAATCTTATCAAAAGAGAACGTTTTCAAATATAGGTGAATGGCGGGTTCGTGGTGGGAGTGAAGGATGCGGGTTTCATTACACGCGTACCGGGAAACCGAAGATATTAGAAACCAAATGATATAAATGAATATTTCCATTAAAGCACCATCTATCGGTTCTATAATTTGTAAAAATATATTGTAATACATATCGAAAATTTTAACGAAATCGGTCAATAAACACGCGTTTTGAAATTATATCGACTCCGGCACCACCTAATGGGTAAACTTTTTGCAAACGTATACTACCTTCCCCTAAATCGCCCAAATTACGCACTGTGCGGAGTGCTTCGCAGCGCATATTTTTAACGCTCAGTATTAAAAACGAAAAATATTAAATTAATTAAGATGATGAATTATTTAATTTGTCTCGAGTTCGGAATTAGTAAGTTGAAAAAAATACGTAGACATATTTGAAAAAAATAAAACTACCAGATGGCATTGAAAACGAATTATTTTGGAAATTGGTCTTTACAGTCCTATTCGGCGCAAATTCGGGGACATATAGTTACAAGGACTTTGAACAAAATTTCGAATAATTCTACAAATTTTCATGAAAGTTTCAAACTTTTTATTAAAAGTCTTTGGTCAAAATACATGTCCTTCATTTGTACGAAAATGGAAAGGCCTATAAAATTGCATACCTGATAAATTTGTAAACATTTTGATTAAAAACTTCGAAATTCTGATGAACAAACTTTAAAAACTTTATAAATTTTGTACACAGTTTGAAACTTGGACTTATTAGGTTTTTGTTTTTTATATGAGCATTTAAATAAAAACTTACACGGTAGGAACACCAAAATGACACAAAAAATGCCGAGATTCGTAAACTTAATTTTGGATCGTAGATTACGGATCTGTATACCCTTCTTCTAGATTAGGTAATTTTCCCAAGATATTTTTAACCGACTTCACAAACAGAAGAGAAGGTTATCAATTCGTCGGAATATATATTTTTTTTTATATATGTTGCCGCATAACTTTGGACCACGTTAACCGATTTCAATAGTTCTTTTTTTTTAAAGTAAAGCTGTTACCTCACAGGTGGTGCCAATCAACGATAATCTTAAATTTTTATAAAAAAATTGAAGTGGGGTTTGTTTTTTACTTAAATATTACTTGTTTCATTTTAAGTTTGCATTGTGAAAGAAAAAAAAAACCAATTTCAATAGCGAAAAAATTAAAACATAACATAATCGTACATGGCGTATGAGTAATATTCTTTCCGGCTCATATTTCATAAAATACTTATTACGCATTTTCATTTGACCATTCACATTTTTTTTTATTTATACACCGACTTTCTCCATTTGTAGGTTTGATTTTGGAGAAGACCCGGCTTTAATATAAACTAAAGATTGATTTTTTTCATAAAAATGAAAAACATCAGGCTAGAAAAACAGGATATAGATTCGTAATCTAGGACTCAAAATGATGTTTACGTGTTTCGGCGTTTTTTTATGGGTCATTGCAAAATTGGAGATTTTCCCTACAGCGTTATCCAAAAATATTGTGAGTATTTACAAAAATCAGCGTCCTAATAAGAAATCAATTTGAAAGAAAGGCCCCGAGTGGCATAAAAATGACAATGAATGAATGCTTGGCCACTAATATTTAGAGGATTCTAATTTGAAGATAGCGCCTTTGATAAACATATATATGTAGACTGTCTCGCTGCTACCGAGGGCTTTTAGTGGGCTGTGACTAACTCGATATACCTATCTACAAATAAATCTTCAGGAGCGTCGACGAAATCTACCATTTCAATACATATTGAGTGCTGGGGCATGATTTTGACACGGAAATAAGGATACTAATGGACAAGGAAAACGGAGCTTGCTACGGTGTTCTGAACCGAACATATAGTTTCTATGGCATATAAGAAATGCAAGGATTCTGTAGCGAACATAATATTGATTGAATATTGCGCAGTCCGAAGTATGGGTTTCAGATTTCTTGGTACGAATTTCTTGGGAGACTTGGATAGTTTCAGCACCGTATCTATCCATAACCTTTGTAGATACATAGGTTTGTTGAAATCTTAAATATTTCTCATCGTAAATTTCTTAATAAGGGCAGACCCCGCCTAACCTATTTGACCTATTTTCGGCATATAAAGGGATATTTTATAGTCGATAAGTTTCCAGTTCTAAGTAGTAAGTAGTAGACAACGCAAAAAAGTTAAAAGTAAGCCATCTCAACAGCCTGTGTTGATATACCTATTTATTGTTACTAGGCCACTCAAATTAAGTTGACTTAAGATGAGTTGAGGTTAGATCTGTTGCAGTGAACTGATTTGAGGTGGTTTGAGGTGACGTGAGCTAAGGTAAGTTTAGATGAATTAGCTGAGGTGAGGTGAATTCAGTAGAGGTGTGATAAGGTAAGTTGATGTAAGGTGAGCTGAAGTAAGGTGGAGTGAGTTGGGGTGCCACTAAGCGGAGTTTTGACATTGAACAAACGGCCCTTAACCTTATTCTTAAAGCGCCGCTTAGCACGTTTCTTAAACCCTTCTGTGACATCCTTGGTACAGTTGCCAATTCCGATTTTGAAACCGAATTTTCGATATTTCATCTACAGAGCTGAAACTTTACACATATACGAGTGCATTTAGGAATGATTTTATATAACTTTTTAAGTGTTTCCATAACTCGATTGTCGATGGAAGTGGCTAAGGTACAGAACAGAAATTTCTAATAGTATTTATTTATATTTAGAGAAGAAACTTCATGTTATCCTCATGTGTAGATTTAAGAATGAATTAGTAGTATTTCTTATGAGTTTGGATAACTTGTGTATAGAAGGGAGTGGCTAAGGTACACCTATACCTTCATTAGCCTCCTTGATACATATGTACATACTTTTGTTACATAAAAAACTAGTAAAATATACATGTGTATACGCTGACAGGTAACAAGATCAACGGAAATAAGGTCAATTGATACTATTTCGCATACTGGTGTGAAATAAAGTCCATTGATATTATTACTTTTTCAAAACGGTTTATACTCTAAAATGCATACAGAAAAATAGATTATTTGATATTTCAAACATAATGAAAAATAGTATCACAGTGACATAGTGACAAGATCAACACGCACATGATGGATAACATAATACCAAACTCGTTATATGCATGCATTCAAAAAAATAGCGAAAGGGTAGCTAACTACGAGTATACAAATGTTGAAAGACTGAAATAATGTGTAAAATTAAGCAACTGTTAGATTAAAAAATCCTTACTTTTGACCACGGAATTGGGCCTTAGATTGCCTTTACTTACTTACTTGCTTACTTTTTATTTCTATAACTAATTTACCAAGTTTGGGAAGAAACAAAAAGTAGCTCCAAGCATTTTCGTTTTATCTGGCCCGTTAAGTAAGTTGCTTAATTTAAAAGGGATTTTTTAATTTTTTTGAACGATTTTGGTAAATTTTATTTGTCCCGCGCGGCAACACTGGTTCCAAACTAAATAGTATTTATGCTGCTATCTTAAATTTGAACTTTAAAAGAAACTTGAAAGATGTACGATTGTTATGGAATTTATTAGTTATTAAATAATTAAGTTTATGCATTTTATTTTTGTACTTGCTTTCTGCATTCTTTGTAGCAATGCTCCTATTTATTAGGGCTA